TTTTGCATGGTATAAACAGAGTTGGTTACAATGTGCGCAGATTTTGAGCTCAAGTTTCTTGAAAATAATGAGGAATATCTTTTTTTACTCAGTAAAAGATTGAATTGCTGTGCATTGAAGTTTCAAATCAATGTTGTATGGATCTATATCCCTTAAAAACATTTTTAAACTTCATTATCAAATAAGCAGCCTTAGAAGAGGTATGCCTAAATTTTCGTTTTGTAAAATTATGACTGAATTATGACTGTCTCCTTCAGATTTCATAATGTTTTCTCTTGCCCTCAGAGTAATTACTGGAAGCCAATGCATTTTGTTCTATTTTTTGTAAAATCTATGAAATCTCGCTTGTTTCACTGTATTTTAGTTTTTTGAGATATAATTTTTAATGTCATTCATGTTTTATTTCAAATACAAAAATCTGAAGTACTGTTTGCAAGGGCATTATTGACATTGAAATAGTCCCTACTAGGCATTAGATTAGTCCTTACTGATGTTTTTTAAGGGCAAGGCTAATTACAAATCAGGGCCAAGTCCTATGTAACCCAAGCATCACTCGTTGCATGTGAGTGCTCAAATGGTATACTGTAGCTAGAGAGTAGCGTGAATCTCCATTTCCGTAGTGTTATTTAGGCAGGTAAAGATAGATAGAAAATAATAGGATAGACATCAAAAGCGTCTACTGTTGCATACACGATTTTCTCGAGTTTTTAGGACCTGTTGTCCATACGTGCAAGCGCAGCCCAAGCAAATATATGTGTGGTACGGAACAAAATCTGGTAAGTTAGATTTGGCGAACAAATTCGTTGTCTAAATTATATGATTTATCAAATATATTCGTGGAATGCTTTTCAAAGGTTGGAGGTTGTGAATATATTGACGCACTTGCTGTATTTGTAATGTTCATAAATAGAGGCGTTCTTCTCGCAGCGAAAATAGGATACTGTAGAAAATCGTTAAATCTGCAAATAGTAACTGACGATACGAGCAAACAAAACTTATTGATGGAGACAGTATTGTAGGTGGCTCACAACAAACGGGATATTATTCGAATGCGACGAGGACTGGGCAAGTAAGCAAACAATTGAATTCGAAAGTTTTTTTTTCGACTTTTGGGCATTTTTTGACCATAATTTGTCAAGAAATGTTTTATTTTCCAGCAACCAACTTTTCCACGAGTGCAGACTGGCTACTCAACAGCACAAAATCCTCAACCAACTTATCAGCAAAATACGGGAACCCCTGGTCCTCTGCAAAGCAGTACGGATTCATCACAGAATAGGCAGAACGACTTCACCGGACAATTCTACCCGGTGACACCGTCGTCAGGAGGTTATACCCCAGCACCTGGGTCTTACAACAATGCCAATGCTGGTTATCAGTCACCATCTCCAAACTACTATTCTACTGGAAATACTGACTTCAACACAAGTCCTCCACAATTTCCGATTTTGAACCCAAGTGGCAGTGCTTATAACAATGAAAACAGCGCTGGTGGGGAGTATGGCCAACCTACGGGGGAATACGGCAATCAGGGTAGTCAGGGTAGCCAGTCTGGGGCCATCCAAAACCAGTGGAGCGGTAGCTCATCTACCCCTCCGAATTATATCGCACCCCAAGTTTGGGATGGGGGATATTATTCGACCTCCTCCAGCAGCAGCTCCGTACCGTACACTTCTTCCAGTGGGGATCAGAGCGGCGCAAGCTACGGTCCAAGCTCACAACCTAGTTATGGAGCCGACACTTCAGATCATGCTCAAACTCAAAATGACGTGGGTTCTTCTTGGGAGCCCACTCCACCACTGCCTTCATCGCAGTGGATGCAAGGCGGTTCCTACTCGGACACCACTTCTTCCGACCAAAATCAACCCTATGAGCAGTCATCCACTCCCCCAAGTGGCCAGTACTACGGAGGTTTTTCTTCTTCGACTAACTATCCAGGAACAACAGCGTTCCAGTACACTTCCACGCAGAATCCGCTATCACTGACACCTCCGCCTGACGCAGCCACATCCGCATGGTCGTACAATGAAGGTGCATACTCCAGCACGCAAAGCCCGTACCGGGACGAGTCTTCGTCATCAGCTGGACAACAGGGAATGAATACGCCGTTCGCTGCTTCCTATGGTGATTCAACTCCAGGAAGTACGCAGGGGTACCAGCAGGGGTATCAGGAATTCGCGTCAAGTACACAAGCTGCACCATCATCTAGCGAGGGTTATGTGAGTAACAAAAAATTGGTAATTTTTCGTTACTCGGACCCACGTAAATTGTCACTTTCGCAAAGTAAGCTGATCCAAACAAAATATAAAGGGAAAACAATTTAATATTTGTTTATCTCCGTTTCGTCCCCTTCCTTAGACGGAGTTTTGAGATCTAGACCCTCTCTGGGA